GGTGTGTGATTCTGCTGTGCGTGGGGTCGCTATGAGTCGGAAGTGACTCGAGGGCACCTGACAACAACGAGGCTCTGTCCCGAGGTCTTGCCAGGGCGTCAGGGTAGAGTCCTCCTTCCCATTCAACCTCCTGCTCTGGGCAACGAGGAGTCACGGCTCTTCCTGTGGATGCCACGCCCTCCCAACCTGGTGCTGCATCTGAGGAAAGAGCATCCGTCCTGCCGTGCACGTCCCACCCCCAACTCATGCCGTGCTCGGTCACAGACCTTGGTTAACTTCTACGTGGTCTGCTGTGAAGTCTGGGTGCTGCCTTTGCCCCTGAGACACTTCAAAGTTCTCCACTGTATTTGCCTCGAGTTCACTATTTCTCCTTGGCTCTGAGCAAGCATCAGTGAGACCAGAAAATGTTAAAGGAAAACTAAACATTAAGAGAACATTTTTTTTCCTAGACTTTGCAAAAGAGGGGGCTGTGATTGGTGTTCCTAGTGGACCCCAGCCACAGTAAGCCTGGAGAGAGCAGACTGGGCTCTGAGCTGTTAAGATCCTATGTGCAGAGGAGGGCAGATACAGCTCCTCACAGACAAGGCTGAGTGGGGGGACGTCACAGCCCCTCACAGCCCCACAGGGCTGAGTCAGGGGGACCTCACAGCCCCTCACAGCCCCACAGGGCTGAGTGAGGGGGACCTCACAGCCTCTCAGGGCTGAGTGAGGAGCAATCTCACAGCCCCTCACAGCCCCACAGGGCTGAGTGAGGGGGACCCCACAGCCCCTCACAGACCCTCAGGGCTGAGTCAGGGGGACCTCACAGCCCCTCACAGCCCCACAGGGCTGAGTGAGGGGGACCCCACAGCCCCTCACAGACCCTCAGGGCTGAGTCAGGGGGACCTCACAGCCCCTGACAGACCCACAGGGCTGGGTGAGGAGGGACATCCCAGCCCCCCACAGACAGGGCTGAGTGGGGGGACATCACAGCCCCTCACAGACCCACAGGGCTGAGTCAGGGGGACCTCACAGCCCCTCAGGGCTGAGTGAGGAGCGATCTCACAGCCCCTCACAGACCCTCAGGGCTGGGTGAGACACCCAAGCTCCAACATCCCTGAAGAGCATCAGCTACAGGGTGAAACTCAAGATCTGGAGGGGGAGGGAATTCGGCAGCCCTCCTCACCCTCCTCTCCGCCTCTTCCCTCTCCTCCCCTGTTCCCCCTCCTCCCCGCTCCCCTTCCCTTCTCCCTTCCTCATCCTCTTTCCATTGTTGACACCCTCCTCCTCTTCTCTTCTTCCCCTCCCCCTCCCCTCCTCTCCAGTCCCTCTCCCTCTAATCTGTTCCTTCGACCCCATCTTCTTGAGTTCATCTCTGTCCCCTGCAGCATCTCATCCCAGGACCACACTGACATGTGCCACACCCCTCTCTGAGGCAGGGCAGTGTGTGCTCACCCACTTCCATGTCTGTGACCTGGGCATGAACCCCAACCCGGGACAGATAAGCAAGGAAGAGTGAGTGAGGGGTGTGTGCACACAGCAGGCACTGAGTAAACGGGGACCTTTTACCAAGGAGCTCTCAGCATTGTAGGAGTGGCGCCCAGGAGCCTCCTGCCTCTCCCAGATCCTGCAGGACAAGTGTCCCTCGGCCAGGGCCAGGGCTGGGCCAAGACCCCCCACCTACATCGGTCAGAGCTGAAGACACTGGCTCGTGCTCCTGACCCAACTCCAGCCCTGTTCTCAGAAGCATGGAGGCCTGGTCCTCGCCCCTGACGGAGGCCGGACACATCAGCAGTGAGCAAGCCTCTGTGGAATGTGGGGCTCAGGGCAGGACCCCACTCCAGCCCTGCCCTGTCCCCAACTGCCAGGTCCCAGCAGGCCCTGCACCAGCCCCAATCACACAAAAGGCAGCAAGGGAGTCCCCCACACTGCCACCAGCACCACGCCCCCATCCCACACCTGCTGCCCCCTGGCACTGCAGACCCCTCCGCACACCCGTGCCCCCCCCAGCACCACAGCCTCCACCCCACACCCGCACTTACCCAGGGACCATGGCCCTGTCCCACATTTGTGTGGCCCCCGACACCGCGGACCCTTCCGCACACCCACGTGCCCCCCAGCACCATGGCGCCTGCCCCACACCCACGTATACCTCCGGCTCCCGCTGGAAGATGACGACCCGGCCACCCTTGTCACCTGTGGCCAGCAGCTCCCCAGTGTGGTTGAACTCAACGGTGGAAATGATGTCAGCTGTGGGAAGAGAGACAGGAGGGTGGGTGTGAGGACCCTGGCGTTGACGTCTGAGAGCACTTAGGGCCCTTCACAGAGACTGTCCCCGGTGGCCCTCTCCCTGGGTACCCTATTCCTGGGCGGCCCCCTGGACAGCCAGGAGGCTGGGGGGATGTCAGCAGCATTGTGGCCAAGTGCCTGGCTGACAGATCCCACCCACTGTCTCCCCACAGGCTGCAGGACAGAGACCCCCAGGTCCGTCTGCACTTTCCACCTCTTCCCCCGGGAGTCAGGTGGGGTGCTGTCCGCTGCTGACCTGCGTCATCAGTCAAATCTAGCTCCTCAAAGCAGGCCAGGGCCACAGAGACACAACGACCCCCGCCCCACCAGGGCCAGAGCCCCCAGGGCCCAGGGTGAGAACAGGCAGGGGTGGGTGCTAGCCTCCCCACTCCTACCCCACCGCTCAGAGTTGGGGAGACCAGGTGTGAGAACACATGGGGTGGGTTCTAATCCTGCTCACATGAGGCCCTGGGAAAGGGAGAGCCATGCTAGTGGGTGGGGCTGGAAAAGCCCCCTAGAGGCCAGGCTGGCGGATCCTGAAGAGGGGCGCCCGGAGGAGCAGGGAAGAGACACAGGCAGATGGAAGGAAGATGCCACGTGAAGACAGCAGAGGCCGGGCAGCGTGTCTGCAGCCCCACAACGCCCAGAGCCAGCAGAAGCCGGAAGCCGGAAGGAGAGACCCGCCCCAGAGCCTCGCGGGGCCGGGCCAACGCTGCCGCTCGAACTCCTGGCCTCCAGAACCGCGCAGAATGCGTGTCCACTGCTCCAGGACCACCCCCGGCGTGGGCATCGCGTCACAGCGGCCCTCGGGTGCTCGACCAGCCCCCGGGACACGTGGCGGACCCTGAAGGATGGAGGCCAGGGAGGCCCTGGTGAGAGGAACAGGTGCGGGCTGGCTGAGCCCGGAAGGGACAGCACCCACCTGCCGGCCTGGAGGCTGCGGCCAGAGCCCAGAGCACCTGTGGTGGCCGACATATCTCCCTGGGCAGCAGGCACCTGCACTGCCCATCCCGGCCCTCAGACAGGCCACGCACTAGGATCTCGGCTGATGGACTAGAACCTCCCTCGGGCGCCTGCCCAGGGCTGGGCACACCATGGGCTGGCGGTGGACTGCCTCTCCCTCAGATCCAGCGGTCTGCACCCACCTCCAGGAAGGCCTCCCGGGCTTCCCCCAGTCTGCCAGGCATCCCCTAGTCAGCTCTCCTGGATGCTCAGCCCCTGGCACACGGGCCTCCCCATCCCGCTTCCTGACCGCAAAGCCCACTCTTCCTCAAGGAGCCGGGACCCTCCTGTGGGGTCAGCCTGACCCTGGAGACTGAGGGAAGAACTGCCCCATCTCCAAGCCTCAGTTTCCCCACTGGGAAAGAGGAAACGGTCTTTGTCATCAACATTCCTGGGTTTGTGGGCCAAGGGCGGGGGATGACTAGGGGCCCAGGCCTGGCTCAGAGGGTAGGGCAGGAGTGGGAGTGGGGCTAGCCTGGGTCAGGGGGAGTCTAGGGGCAGGGGGGCTAGGCTGGGTGGGGAGGGAGGTCAAAGTTGGGGACGCCCAGCCCTGGGTCAGGGGG